CTTGATGTACCATCGTTGTAATTGTGTATAAAACACCATTTCAAATCCTAATAAAAGCTTTCAGGCCAAAGAGGTCTCCTTAACTCAAAAAATAATAATAATAATAAATTGGCTAATTTTGCTAAAGAATTTTGAGTTCAATTTATAGCTGTTTTCAAAAAGGTATGAACAGTCGCAGACCACCATGTTATGGAGAGTACACAATATTTCCTAGATTTCCAGAGTTTCAAAACCTGAATTTTAATTTTTACTAATCTAAATTTCCAAATTCTTTGATTTCTCACATAGGTATATGGAATTCATTGTTCACACAATTTTGAAAATGGCTATAATAAGTACCAGTATATTGATTTAAAATTAACTCAGAATCAATATAATTTTTAGCAGTTTTGATAGTTGTATTTAATAAATAAGAACTTTAATATGGAAATCATAGTATTCTTGTATAATAAGAGATTTATAACGTCTATTAAGATTTTTTTCAAATGCATTACGAGACAAGATGGATGCTCTGTTATTTTAAAAAATTTACAGTATATTGAGATTTGATGAATAAGAATTTCAAACTCTTTTTTTTATAAAATTTTTGTTGATTGATAATGATTGTTACAGATGATCGTGAAATCCAAATCATCATGAAATTCCAATTTTTAAAATTTTTTGGGGTATATTTTTTGATATTTTTTTTTGAACCTAAACTAGTATTTAAAATTAGGGTTTATAATAAAAGAGTATAAGTAGGTTTTGTTAGGGCTTATGGTTTTAAATTAAGGCCCTAGATTTTACAATAATCTGATTTTACCATAATTGCGACAATAACATAATTCAAACTATACATTATGTAAATAAATGCTATAAAAAATATACATACTGTACTAGCAGTTGAACATGTCCAATGTCCGTGTTTAAGGTAGCTTGATAAGTTGTAAATCAGAATAGAGGAATAGATTAATCATACAACCAAATTCATCAGATCGACCAAATTTTCAGTTGGAATAATTAGAATTGATAAATTTTGCCAGTAATCCAGTGCAGCGTCCAGATTTGGGAGAGCAGTAAGTGAGCATGGGGGTTTTGCTTGGGGCACTGCATAGGTTATATGAAATAGGTGTTTTATTAAAATTAAGGAAAATATAATCTTTAGAACAATCGAATTATTTTGTTAACTGTGTATTCAACCTTCTACTCGTTATGCTTCCTGTCGAATCTTTCCGTCTTACTATCTATCCTTCAACTTTATTAATAATGATTATACATTATAGTATTCATATTCTACACCCGATTTAGTTATAATACATTATTAATCAAGAAAATGTAGTAATAATCTATGACAATAAAATATAATCATGGAATATTCCCATCGCATGACTATGGTCTTCTTCAATACATTCTGACTCTAAAATTTTGCCGATCTGATGAATTTTGGTTATGCGACTAATCTATCTGGAAAATGGCTTGTATGTAACACTATAATACAGGACTATAATTCTTCTAAAGGGTAAATTAAGATCCCATATGTAACTAACGAATGAACGATATAATATTAGTGATGCTAAGAGAAAATAGGACATTGGATTATTATTGATTATTTATTTAAATAATAAATGATAAACCAATATCTCATTTTCCTTTAGCATAACTCATATATAATGTACTATAGTATAAGATAAAATAGGATAGTTAATTTGAAATAAAAATAAAAATAAAATCTATAAAAAAAATAACAAATTGAGATAAAAAAAAAAGATAGATTAAATATATTAATCCAAAATGTATAGAAATTACTTGAGCACTGTCAAGAGAAAATGAAACTTCAAACTTTTAAGCTTATCATTTATTATTTGTTAATTTAGCTCGTGAAAAAACTGATCAGTGATATATATTACATGTCATAGATATTCAAATCTGATAAATAATATTATAAAATGGAAAGCCTGAAGCATCATTCTCTTCTTCATATATTATTTATTTGATTTTTTAAATTTTTTATTTAATAATATAAATGCTATTAATATAGATATTATACCATATTTAAATTATAATTTAAGATACTAATTTAGAAAATGTAACTTGCATGTAAACTTATTAAAATACTAAGAGAACCTCTGCAAAAATTTTGTACACGTATCTAAAAACTAAGCTTTCACAAAATTTTGTTATCGCCTTTTAAGCACTATTTAAATCAACAGGCAAGTAAATCAACTTACAAATAAACTTTGCTAAGATATAAAGCTTGTTTCTTGTATAATATTTTACGATGGGATTTTTAAAACCTGTGCTAAGCTATGTTAATTTCTAAATCTAAAAATAATATAGATGATCAATTTAGTATGATAAAAGGTATAAAATATCTAATATATACTATACTAATATTCTATATCAATAATTTCTAAACCTAATACAGTAATATATAACATCAAATTAGCATGGTACAAATTTTAAAATAAGTACTTTATACCCATACTATACGAATCTGGCCACCCATACCATATTTATCAGTATAAGTTACAATGCCGTATTTTGATACATTAGCTATTCTTTTTTAGGTGTTTAAAATAAGTGAACGAAATCAACAAACCTAAAAAAAGATTAACAGATGAATAGATGCAGAATCTAAAATTGGTCAATCTAATCTGTTAAATAATAGAAGAAAATTAAAACCTTTATTAATTAAAGGATCATTTATGTTATTATTTCTGTATATCCAAACATTTTGAAAAATATTAAAAAATGAAAGTAATAATTTTTTAATTGCTATGCTTTATTAGAAAAAAAAAAAATAAAGAAATTATACTGATTTTATCAAAACTTAACTGTTATGAGATCGAAAACAGAAATTTATGACTGATCTATTACTATAAATTAATCATGATTAGCTATTACATGTTTTTAAATATTTTTTATTAATTAACTGTATACATAATATCAATCCTTGGGCTGAAATATACACTATGTTGATTACAAAATATAGTGCACTAATTCGAACTAAAAAGTACCAACTGAGTGTGTCAAGAGAAACCCTAGAATTCTTAATTCTCAGAACCTTAGCTTTTAGAAACAAACAATGTTAAATTCTTATAAACTGTTTCTGAAAATGAAATTTCGAAAAACAGGTTTCCCTTTTTTCAGCACTCAACAGGTAATACAAAATACAATAACCTTAACTGGCCAATCAGATTCATTTTATTCCGAACACAGTTAAAATTTTTCATTTAAACCGCAAAAGTTATACCTTCGGTATATTTACTACATAATGTATACTGAAGTATACTATACTTATCTAATAAGCTATACTGGTTTTATATTACGTAGTTATTTAACACTATGTGTACTTGTGGGTCTTTTACTATAAACTTTACTCGCTTGGCTAGTTACGATGACTGGAGTATTGTACCAGATACTACCACCAGCAATATATTCGCACAGGTCACAGTTTATTCACTAAGAATACTAATAGGAATTGCAGAAGCAAAAGTTAGGCTTCTTCTTTCTTTTGATCGAAGCCTTATATATTATTACTTTTCTTTATTTGATTACTAAATTGTTTTATGCAATTAATTCTATTACTAATCGCTAATTACACATTGTTCAAGCAATAAAGACTATTCTAATCACTAATTACTACATTGTTCATGCGATGCTAATTTTAGAATTTTTAATTGAATCGTGATTCTAATACACATTTGACATTATTAAAAATAATTAATCTGCATTAATTATCTCATCATATAACAATTACGCCATACTGATAAGCTCGTCAACGAAGTGAAGGAGCGTTCATTATTGCGAGATCAGATGACTTTATTGCAAATCCACATGTAAATTTGTTTGTTTTTCTATTTTGGGTTAGTCAGTGGTTTTGTTCATGACGTACGGGTTAGATGCAGGTTTTTTGGGCATTAGATTATGTCTTCATATAATTTATTGTTGACGGGGTTTTATGAATGTGATTTTCAGATCTAAGGATATGAAGGAATTTTCTGGCATGTGAATGGTTTAGAAAGTTTGAGGGTAAGCAGAAGTCATTATAAGGGGAACATGTGTCAGTAAAGGAAGGGTTATCTTTCATTTTGCTATTGCTCACCTTGAAGAGGCTGGCTCTATTGTCCCACCCGTGCCCCCCAGTAGCAAAAATAAGGCTCCACAGCTGAGTAGCAGTGCAAGGACCTTTGGTAGTGGTGTCAGGCTCCACGGCTGGATAACAGTGCAAGGACCTTTGTTAGTTGGTGTATAGGCTCTACGGCTGCGCAGGCAGTGCAAGAACTTTTGAAATTGAATCAACATATACATAGAAGGACACTTCATTCAACCATTCGATCCTCGTCTTTGGCTATATAGATGCCTGTTACTGCCCTTATGGTCTGTTTCTTGGTTTTATTGGGTTTAGTTAACAGTTGTTGGGATGGAATGTTAAATTGTTCAATCACGAGTGTGAGGGTTTCTTTGGATTGGTCAGTAAGGTGGGACTTAGTAGTGTAGTTTGAATGTACAGTCATACCTGAGTTATATCCCCACTGGGTTATATCCCAACCTGAGTTATATCCCCATTTTTTAGAAGAATAAA